ACCAATTAGACTTTCTACTAAAATATCTCATTCAACATGCATTTATTATTATAAATATTCACAATTAATTTAAATTATGAGGAAACTGTTCATGTAGTTATTAATAACAATATTATTTGGAGCAATTAAAAGTCAATATTTGATTATTATAATTAATATGTATAATGCAAAAAATTTGCTGGTCTATTTGAATTTTATGAATAGTTACTTAATTGATTTTTATATATAGTTTGTTCCTTTAGGACTATGTACCTATATATTGTAAAACTTTTAAGTACACAATTGTCAATATTATCTTGAGTTTTTTGTACGATATTAACATAACTTTACTTAACATTTTACTAATTTAATAATTTTCATCACGTGCCGTTTTAGAAATTGCCATAAAAGTAGAGACTGCATATAAATAATTATGATTCATAGTTGCACATAATAAGTTACGATCATTTAAATGATCATATACAAGAATAACTAAACAAATTTTGAGATTTTGAGCTTTGATGATTGCATCCATCAAATTTATAATTAAGTATAACCAAATCGGCTATCACTTTTTTCGCGCCTAGTTTACAAATTAATTTACATAATTTATTGAATTAAATAATTGCATATGAAATAATTTAATATAAAATAAAATTCACCAAGTAAAAAATTTCAACTTCATGAAGTAAATATTTATTGTAGTAGCAAATCTAATGGTATAGATATCTATACGTAACTAAGGCCATTGGTTGTGCAATATCAATCTATTTGATTATATTCAAGTTTATTTCTCTGTCCTCAAGTGGAATTGCTGGCAAATTTAAATATACTCTATACAAAGTTTCATAAACGTTTTTATATTATAAACGTTTCCTTATACGAGGTGTGTTCAAAAAGTACCCGGAATTACTAATAATTAAATTTCGCGGGTCTGGAGTGTCTGATTGTCAAAATTTTTTTTATTGTGTTGGTATACATGCCCCTAAAGTATGATGAAATTTTCAGCTATATTCACTGTTTACTTTGTCTGTGGTAGTCGCTAAGGTTCGACGTGTTTTTCTGAGCTCGGCGATTTTTACAATGGAAGAATTGAAAAGTCAAAGAATTTGTATTAAATTTTGCGTAAAAAATGAAATAAAGTGTTGCAAAGTGCAAAAATTCACCAGATATGGCTCCGTGTGACTTTTTCCTATTCCCAAAGTTGAAGAGACCCATGAAAGGACGGCGGTTTTCCTCGATTGAAGAAAATCGCTGAGAGTGCTCAAGGACATATCAAAAAGTGAATATCAAGGGTGCTTCGAAAATTGGAAAAAACGCTGGCATAAGTGTATTATATCTGGGGGGGACTACTTTGAAGGGGACCACATTAATGTAGACGAATAAATAAATATACTCGTATACTTTGTGCATGTGCATTTTTATTAGCCTCTCTAGTAACGTCTGTCACTTACAATATTATCATATTCGAAATATTTTTTATTGAAAGTTTGTTATATTGTTTCTTTGCATACATACTTTGTATTTGCTTTATTCAATTTTTATGACTCCTCAATTTTTATTTAGATATAATACTTTTTGTGCCTGAAACCTGATTTTTGATCTAACTTGTTAAGTGAAAACGCGTATCACTGCCGCTTGATAACAGGGTGTACCGCATGTTTTGAGCTTGAAACATTGTATGTATACAAGGTTTCAAGCTCAAAACATCTAAAAATCCACTACCTGCATTATAAGATATATTATATACATATTTTGCTAATTTAACACGATGCCTTTATCATTAATAAAGGCAAATATAGGTTTCATATTATATTAATATCTTTATTTACAGTATCGGCTGAACATCAAGGTGGTAATCAGGCCGCAGCATATTATTTTCTCTCATGCGTACGGTTTCAGAGCTAATTATTTGCTGCCGGACAGATGGAAGAAGCATCGAATGAGGCGAAGCGACTTGTATGCGGATATCGAGGAACTTATTAACAAGTAATGAAAATAATATATTCAATATAATAATTTTAACTAATTAAAAATCAATTTTGATATGTTTTAGAAAAATGCTAAATTAATCTCGAATTCTATTACACACTTCCTATTTTCATTATAATTATTATAAATTTTTTCAATTTTATTTTCCATTAGAAATAATAATTTTTTGTTTTAGTCACGGTTTTGATGGAAGAGCATGTGTTTTGAAAACACTTTGCGAGGCATCAAGAATCATCACGCCGCAGAGCAACATATTACTTAAAATATTTCGACTAATATTTACGTAAGTCTGAGTATATATACATTTATATATATATATATATATATATATATATATATATATATATATATATATATATATATATATATATATATATATATATATATAAACACACACAAATACGTAAGTGGCGTTAGTAACTAATTACTGTGGACCATCCCTGAATGTTGTAAACCGAATCGAAAAATTTGCTATTTTTCCAATGATTTTATATTATATCCAATTAGTTGACTTAATTATTTTTAATGTATAAACTAAATTGAAGCCTCAAAACCAATTATGGGTTTTTGTAAAACGTGAAACAACTTTAAAGTTAAAGCAGATTTTTCTGCCATTTCACGATAGGCATAAATATTATATATTTATTCCAACTTTAATTAGTGAAAAAAAACTTATCATATCTTTCCCATCCCCGATTTTTTTGAATTGTTCACTCGGTTTATTAACTTCTCATATATATAAACTATAATAAGTAGCGAATAAAAGCGAAGTTGCATACGTATGTTTAAATGCATGTAAATAATAGATTCAATCAATAAGAACTGGGAATAAGTTACTTATCGTTAGATCAATTCAAGTGTTTAATTCGAAAATAAAGTCAGTTTTATTAAAAATTGATCATAGCGTCTTGCAGTTGATATCTTTCAAAGAAATATTATAATTGTAATTGTATTATTTATTGTGCACAATCAACCCTATGCGTTTCTTTTGAGGTCCATTATTCTAAATTTTAATGACTTAAATATAACCACTATATTCAGAGACTATAATATACCCACTTTTTGTAGGACTAAAGTCTTTTAGGGTGTTTTAATTATCAAACAAACTTTGTCAATAACTAATCAGCCCGATTCTCAACCGATAAGTTTCAGTTGAAAACGCAGTTTAAACTGTTTTTAAACTTTTGAAATCGGTTCAGGATTTTTCGAGTGAACGGATAACTAATCAACCCAAATCTTAATCGATTTTCATAATTTTTAGTAATAGTTACAGCAATTGTTAAAAAATGTCTACGTGAAGTAAATTTTTGGTTTGCATACATTCACATACATTTTGCAATATTAATGGTAAACCATTCAGAACTACTTGAGAAATCATAATTCGCCAACTTCTTTGGAAAGTTTAATTTCCTGTTTGAAATTTGATATATAAACAATTCTCGTTGTACTTTACGTAAAAGTAAAAATTCTGAAAATAATCTAAAATTAATCAAGGCAATTTTGCTTAATTAACATATTGAAACAACATTTTTATAAAAATTGCAATGATACTATAAAAATGGTAGTTGCAACAGAGAATTAAAAAAATTGACGATGCAACAAAACAACATGAGAAATTCAATTGATATTTTTAATAAATGACTGTATGAAATATTTTCAGCTTACCTGAAGGCGATGACAAAGAGTATCCTTATTTGAAATCCGAACAATGCGACGAACTAGAACATCACTGTCCCTTATCATTACTTCAAATGACATCATATTATGACAACTGAAGTATTAAATAAAGTGTTGCCTGCTGTGTTATTTAAGTGATATTGTAAATATTATAATTATTTTATATGAAATACGCTTTATTATATGTTAAATGTAATAAATATTTTTTATCTAAATAATAACATTTGGTGTTATTGAAATACTTCGCATACTTTGCATCTCACAAAAAAATCTCAAAAATATAATATATACATTTTAATTGTTAAATATTTATAAATTTTATTACAGTGTACAAATTCGATAAGAAATAACAAATTATTTCAACATAACGACTGTATCTCAGCTATCACAAAAGATATCCAACTCAAACAACAACATTATAAACTATGTAAAAATATTAAAATGCTGAACAATTTCAGTTTTGCTAATGTTTAATAACAGCCATTCACAACATTTTCTCGCTAACAAAATTTGTTTCAAGATTTCTATCATTAAAAATATCTTAGAATATTTTATATTACAAGTGGGATGAAATTTAACCGAAGCAGTTGACATATTATGAATGATGATAAATGTTTTGGCAAATTCTATAAATATTGTATATATAGTGACATCAAATTCAATGATTCAATATGTGGATATATGAACTGATTCTGCCGCAAAATAGACCAATGTTAAGAACCGGTTTTCATATAAAATGGTACTAAAAACCGTCAAAATTATATATGATTGCTGTGTAGTCAGGCGTTTTTGATAGAAAGTCTAACCTCAAAAACACACAAACGTCAAAAAAAGAATCTTAACATAAGTGTATCTAGCTGATGTGGCATAACAACGTATGAGTGAAGTTACCCTTTATGTGTAAAACGCCTGACTGCACAGCAAATACAAATTATTTTGACGGTTATTAATACCACTTTATATGATAAACACTTTGGTCAATTATACTGCAGTATCGGCCCCATAATCTTGATAGTTACGCCTACACCTACAGTCTATATTTAATTGAAAATTAATAATTTCGATTAGAATAAATTTTATATAAAGTGCAAAAATCATGTTATATGTTTGTAATAATTTATGACAAATTTAATTGAATAACCGGCAGACTAGAATGTAGCACTTAGAACAAGTCGTGTTAATATTTATACTTTGTCAAGTAAATCGGTTTATTAATTATACTTATCAGGATAAATGTGCACGCTTAAAACACATTAGGATTGTCTCTATTACTTCCGATTTATAGCTATAATTTAATAAGATTCGAAAAATCATTAGTATCATTTTTTATACAATTTTTCAATATCAATTTATTGCGATAAGGTAATGTTACCTATTTATTAGTTTATACCAAGTATGATGGGTCTAATGTCTTATACATCTGGTAAAAACTGTTGTTGGGCAACCGATGACAACTCCATATCGATTGGTTTAGTGTCGTCGTACAATGCCGGTGCTTCGCAGAGTATAGCAAATGTTCCTACAATCGAGGCTATTGTGAAAATCCACAGGAACAATCGGTCTAAAACCATGGCTACGAATCCCCAGTCTTGGTCTTCCTACAATAGATTCATGGTATTCAGTCAGATACAATATATACAGTGACATGAGACATTCTATTGTTTGATGTTTAAACAGATTCGAAGCATACACGATGATGGAATGGATGTGAGGTCTTAACAAATATTCATTGAATTTACTCCCAAAATGTGTGAAAGTAACAATGACAGATTAGAACAATAGTATGTGCCTTCAAAATATGTGATTGAAATTTGTTGTATTAGCCAGAGGCATTAGAATCCATGTATTCATTCATATTTGATAATAAAGTGATTTAAAAATATAAATAAGATAAAATTTTCAAATTTTCTAATTAAGATTTTTTTTATTATCTAAAAAATTTTATAAAATTTTTTGAATTTGCCGTAGCATAACCATATATAAGGTGATGGTAACCAGGGTGGACCCTCCTACCAATAATAGTTGCACTTCAATATAATTAAAGGTTGCCGAATAAATCGGAAAACATCATGCTTTTTTGCGTTTTTTTCCGAAAAACTTGCTGATAGACGTTACAAAGCTGCTATAAAAATATTTTAGTCGTAATTCAAATAGTTTTTGAGATATACGCATTTGAAGTTGTCAAAGTGGTTTTTAGCGAATATCTTGCGAACGGTAAGAAGTATCATAAACATTTTTGAACCGACTAATAGATATTTTAAATGCAAATATTTTAATCATAGATATGATAGACAACCTAGCCATTTAAACAACTAATTATTGTTTCAAAATATGTTGATATATGGCAGCAAAAAATTTTGTATAGCTCTTAAGTCGTTTCACGTTTTACGAAAACTTACTTAGAGTAGATTACAGCCTTCTTTTTCATTTTTATGATAAAGAAATCAAGCAAAATAATTTAGAGATAAGTGGTAAGTGGTGTGACATTTAACTAATAGCAAATTTTGGACAAGGTTTATTGGCGTTCAGATAAATTTAAACTGTGATTTTCTCCACATATGTATTCATCAAAAAAATTTATATATGGTACGTTTGGAAGACATCAAAAATGAAAATAAATGCTGCTAAATTTTAACGAAACGCTCATGATTTTAGTTTGAAGTTATAAAAGTAATTAATTCTTTGCATATTAGAGGTTTCATAAGGATTACTTAAAGGTTTTTTATAATGATAACTGTTTTAGTTTCCCGAATGAATTTAATTATTCAGGAGAATTCAGTTTGTATATTTTATGTTCTCTAGACGTTTCAAGTTTTTCTGAGTCGTTCAACATCATAATTGAAACTTTGTGTAAGTATCTGTATATTTATTTAAGTATATTGTAGTGTATTTAAGTATCTGTTTATTTATTTAAGTCAATATTAAAATATTTTCTAAAAAAATTGTCACAATTTAAAAAGTGGTTAATTCTCAATTCTTGTTGATTAAGACGATTATTTATAAATATTGAGATTTTTTTGCAACTTGTTCATAGTTCATAAATTTCATTTCGATTAGTAAAATTAATAGTAATGTTAGGCTGACTGTAAGTGAATTTAAAATGTAAAATTATTAAAAGCATAAACTTCATATATAGGTTTATGTACGACCACTATCATTCTTGATATATTTTTTTAAATATAATAAAAAGTACATAACTTTTGTTATTAAAGGATTAAAGTATCACTGTATTTTTAGGCTATTAGGCAAGAATAAATAAACAATATAAAAACATATAGATATATAACTAATTTTGGATCTTAAGTATCCTTAACATTAGGTATGTAAAATATGTAAGTTATTTAAAAATATGGTGCTGTTTTCAGATGAACCACCAATTTTATAATTATAATGATTCTAAAGGTCACTTGCATTTTAATAAAAATATGATTTCTTTATTCCAATCTAATTAATCCATCTATATAATAAATTTGATAAAGTCTCGATATCTACATTGATGCTACATTTTTGCATCTTGAGAAAAACTATCTATATTTCTCAAGCTATATATATATATATATGTATATATATATATATATATATAAATATATATATATATATATATATATATATATATATCACCTGTTTCTCATTATATGTTTCGTAACTTAAATGATTTCATGCAATCAACTTACCGCATTAAATTCGTCCTGCCTAAGCATATGATGCTGAATAAACATCACATTATGTATTGCTTTTTCTAACTCGAATGGATATTTCTTTCTTGGCACAACATCACTCAAAGACTCATCCAAGCCAGACATAATGGAAGGCAGCCCATTATAACCTCCACCTATGCCTAAGCCGCCCATTCCGCCAATTCCTCCGCCCAGAGCGCCAACTAATCCGCTAAATCTGTTAATATATGAAATTCGAAATGTAATTATATAAATTTCCGAAAATGGTTGTAATATTATGTTTTAATTTGAAAATAGTTCTAATGATTATTACTTGTAATGTAACTGAAACAGTTAAATTTTATGTGTGAGATTAGACAATGGATACGATTACATTATAGAATGAAGAAGCTATATAGACGTATTATTTTTTATGACGGATGTTACTTATTTAGAAGAAATATTCAAAACAACTTGTGGTGTCTTACGATAACATTATTATTTGGCATTTTTGTTATTTGTAGGTTAAAATTTAGAAGTTACTTATTTTATCCGAGAATTGGCGTTATAACAGTTTTTTTTAGTCTACTTACAGTTCTTAATGATGCTGATCAATTAAATGTTATTAATAATATGAACTAGATTTAATTTGTGAATACTATTGTATACACCAAAGTTTATTTTTTTTTTCAAAAGTGCAAATTTAAATGCAATAATAAAATGATATTTTTTTTACCATTAATATCCTTTTAATAAATGTATGCATTCAAACCTATTTAATTATGCTGGAAAAAATGACTTATTTTGAACTTTTTTATAATTCTAGTTGAATTTTATAGTCAAGGCGTTAAAACAAGGCTCAAGAATTAAATTGAACATTTCCGAATATTTAGCATGCAATATCGGTAGAATTGGATTTGAACCTTTGAAGTTTTTTAGTTAGAAAAACCAATTTTTGAGTTTTTTTTTAGGATTTATTGCAAGGTACACTAATTTTATGTGCCAATAAGTAATTTGTTCTCGCTCTCTATATGCCAGTAAGCACATAGTAGGAAAACTGAAGAAGCTTATATAAATATGGTCCTATAAAGTTTTATAAAAAGGAATAAATGAAATCTGATAAATAATCAATATTCAATACTGTGAAAAATTTGTATTAAATTAAACTAATAATCTGAATGAAATACAGACTCAGTAGGGAAAACTAGGTATGGTTGTGCCAGGGTACGGTAGTAACAGTCGTCATACAGCTGAATTATATTGATTTTTTTCACTTAATTTAACTTTTAATTATTTTTTACTTAATTTCACAGCTTACCACTTAATTTACTTGCCTAGACAAGCATAAACTGTCACAACCGTCCTGAGAGTATGAATGGTTGTGACACTCGCTCTTTTTTAGAATAATTTGATTTACAACTAATACATCGTATTTGAAGACAGTGTTTCAATATTTATACGTATATAAATGTTCAAATTACCATTTAATTTGCTTTTCTCCCAGTTAACTAGTGAATTAACAAAAAAGTGTCACAACCATACCCAGTCTCCCCTACTTATTACTGTTAATTACCTGTTTGTGGCAGTGGTGGTATGTAATCCATTGCAACCGCTAGGCCGGCCTTGCATATGTCTGATAGAGTCGGGACTCGAACCGCCGCTGGCCGCATGCGCCTGCTGAGCTGCAAGAGCCGCGCTGAATTTACTCTTCTTTCCCCGACCAGCAATTTTGTTCATTGCTAAATCTTTGAGCAAATCTTTTGGCACTCTCATTAACAACAACTTTGGCAAACGTTTTATGAAAAATTTCCGCACCCACGGTGCCATTTTATGCGTACTCGGTTTTCTATAATGTACGTTTAATATTATAATTGTTATCACAACACTTAAACCCACGAGAAGCATGGTGAATAAAAGATATTTGCCTAATAATGGCAATGCTAAGGATGTAGATGGTATGATTTCGGATATAAGTAAAAAGAACATGGTTTGTGATAGGAGAATAGAAATGCAAAGCGCTATTTTTTCTCCGGAGTCAGCAGGTAAATAAAAAACTAATACGGATAAATAGGAAATGCCGACGCATGGCACAATTAGATTTACTGTGTAGAAAAGAGTTTTGCGTCGCAAAGTGATATTGAAAAATATATCTGAAAAATAAATACACAGTCTATAAATATCATATAAATTTAAACACTTTATATGATTTTTATTACCTGGATACGGTTCTGCACAACAAGGGTAATATTTTTCATGCCTTTCGGCTGGAACACCCAAGATATCCCACTCCACACTGGGATAATACTCCCTCAAATCAATTCCAACTTCGACTTTGTTATCTCCAAGTTTTTGGTTTATATGTTTTAAATCAATCTAATGCAATAATTTTTATTGTAGTTATACATTTGTGTATAAGAATATATCCAGCTAAATTTAAGGTCTATATAGATGTCAAAGAATTTTCTAAATACGTTCATATAGTTTACAAAATATTTGTATGAAAAGGTTTGTTTCATTATACAGAGTTAGAAACATTAACATACTTATATTTTTGCGGCAAAGCGTTAAAGGCCTAAGTCTCATTTTTCATATAATGCATATATTCATATATTGAATTCATATTTGTCTATGTTACGTTCCAATATCTGCATTATATTATTATAGTTATAACAAAAATTGTCAATCTTTCAAAACTAATTTCTATTCGTGATAATCATTGAGATTTATGTGCAAAGATCTTATTTAGTTTCAATAAAATTGTGAAAAATATGTTTGTATTTGATGACTAAATTGTTTTACTAAGACACTATAAAATGAATTTGCAATTGTTTACATGTTATCTAATTTTTAAAAATAGAACGTACATCTTCCTAAATTTCCTTATGTTTTAGGTTCTATTATTCATTCAATTTTTTTGGTTCTACATCTAACCTACCATAATTTTTCAATATGTAAATTTTGGGAAATCTGTAGTGAATCTCAAAACCAATTAATTATAGTCAAATTATAAATTGAAATAAAGTAAGTTCTTATTAGACATAATTGTTTAGAACACATCTTCAATCAAATGTTCTTTAATGCATGTTACGTACAAACTGAACTATATAATATATAATCGTCACTGTATATTGATTTTAAATTGTTGTAACTATGTCCAAAAAATGTCTACTACTTACAATAATCTAATATTTGAAATTGATTTTTGACATATCTAATATTTTAAATTAGCTGTTATATGAAAATACCTTTATTTTAAAGATCTTTTAACTTATAGATTGTATTGTAATCTGATTGTTAAAATTAACAGAAATAATAATAAAAAAAAAAAATTTTAAAGATCAACATATTTAAATTTCTGTTTAAGTTTCATAAATTTCTGATTAAGATTAGGTTGATAATTATTCTACATATGCTTGGAAAGGGATTAAATTTCCAATTTTATATAAACATGCTCCATAATATAAGAATTAATATACCTGATCGCCATCATATGTCCAAGAACCAAATTTCATGAAGCAAGTTTGCTGATCAAATGGAAAATATCGAACATCTATCTCACATGATGATTTAAAAATTGCCGGCGGAGTCCATACTACTTTTCCAGTATGATGCAAAACAGCTTTTGTCATAGTTGTTACTACGTATTCACCATCCGCACTAAATATGAAAAAATTACATAAAAATTTTGTTTCAATATAATTTTTATATTTTGTGTAATAATATAAATTGCACTGCATGGACACTAAAACTTGTTGTCAATACCCAGAGACTTTATACTCTTAATAAAACTAAGAAACTTATATTACTTACTTGTTATATAAAACAATATCTGGGAGCCATATATGTTCAGATGGTACATAAAGTTCAGTGACACCTCCATACTCAGTGGGATCCCACTGGAATTTATGATCTTGCCATTCCTAGGAAATAAAATATATAAATTAAAGTATTTTAGTATCAAGTATTAAAAGATATATAGACAATATATAAAAATACTGTTAAAATATATCTATTGACTTTGCGACTGCAAATTGGTCATTGACAATTTTAATATTTATAACTAATCAAACCATTATTACTTACATGTTCTAGCCAAACGTTTGTGGTTAATATTTGGTCTTTCAAATTCTGTAAATAGAGAAATCCAATTATATAATATAGATTAATAACGTTAACGTCTATAAGTACAAGGGACACATCTTAAGTATTATACAAAATAGTTAGATGGTATTTTAGGTAATCATAGTTTATAATCCTTATACATCCCTTGACATCTATCTAAAAGCCTTACCAAGTCAATAAGTTGCGAAAGCCGCAAGCCAAGTTTGACGAGTACGGTATCCGTATTATTACTGACGGGTCTGATAAGTCGATTATAAGTACTCAGCAGATCATCATATAATCTCTTTGCATCAGGGTTACAAATTACTTCTCTTAGATCTAACACCAAAAACACAAGTAAAGTTTGTATTGCACTCCGAGCAGATTTAGTAAGATACATTTTACAATTTCAATTCACCGAACACTGCAGTCCATGGTTCAGGTGAATGATTATGTCACATTTTTGTTGATTTATTGCGATCACAATTTGTTTAAGTTTAGTGTTTATTTCCGTAAACGTGACTGCTTAACGAAACGGTGGAGGCGAACTAGGAGCTTCGGCCGTGCAACAGAGACTGGAGCTTCATCATTGTTAGGATGAAGCGGCGCAGGAATATATGTGATTTAATATTCTCGGGATGTTCAACGTTTCGACTCTTTCTAAACCATTCCCAGTGTATAAGCAAGTTTCATTTCCTAGTCACGTAGGTTGTCTTCTCTCCAAATTCATCCCGGCGTGGTCGATGATCCGCCGCATGCGCCAGAGTTTCGCACTCCAAAGAGGGAGAAAGAATCTCTTCGTTGTATTATTACTACCCCTGCATTCAGTTCGAACTCATATGCATTCCCTTATTTATATGTATGTGCATGCATATATTGCATGCCTACACTGGTATACATTGAGGGATGATAGAAAATCTCATCAATTCACCAAAGCCGCCTTGAGATAATTGAACACCGATCAGCAGACAAACCGCAGTGACCGTAATATGATCCTTAATTGAACTGCACACCTAAAATGTTTGGAGAGGTAATTTGAATAATTACAATAGAATCGTACATAATTCACATGTACTATTGTTAAGATTAGAATTCATAACACATGTACGAATATCACATACTCAATTCACAATACTCAAGTAATTTCATATAAAAGTACGTATGATGATCAAATGTTTTTCAAATATTCATTTGTAAATAATAATTTAAAGTAAATATAAAAATAAAATTTATAGTTGATTTTTACTAACGTGACGAGAACTAATTGTTACTACTTTACACCTAAATGTTTGTTTCAAGTTCTATACTCTTTTCATTGTATTATTCAAAGTCTCCCTGCGTAATTATAATTCTGTTTTGTTCTAATAATATAATACTCTGAATTACATTAATAATGATTCCAGAGCAATAGGGTATATTAGGTCTATATTTGATGCTTGCAAAGATTATTACACAGTACATTAATTAATGCTAGCTTCTAGAAATTGCTCTTCTCTCGTTTAATTAAATTTAATGTTGATGTAATATCTCATTAAACTTAAAGCATGTTTAAATTACACTTTTGATATATTTGAATCTGCATTGAAGGATATTTGTATAATCTTCATATTCCAATTGCATTACTATCAACAAAAAGCAATAAAATTTAATTTATATAATGGACTGAAACATTAATTAATTGAGAATATTAGAAATGATTTGATTACTATATACAGAATGTCTAACTTAACATCTTATCCAAGGAATTTTTCATGTAGATGTGCAATCTTTTAGATTACATAGTTATGCTGCTGGAATTATACCAGTATTATCAACTGATCATAATTATCCAAGTACAACTATGTAATAGACACGCGCATATAATAAGACTGATATATAAGACAGCATGCTTAAAATGTAATTTTTTCACCAGATAATACCAAATACTTTTATTTATTTAAATTTATGTTATTATTTATCTATATTACTACATGTTAATAATTCAACAGTTGTAATATTTATTGAAATTAAAAAAAAAACAAATAATTATTATATTGAATACCTAAGGGTACATCTAGACCACAGACTAACGTAAAAATACCACATCACATAAAAAATAGGAACTATTAAATATAATTTAAAATCAAGATATAATTTAAAATTAGCTTTAGAAAACAAATTCGAATTGATTTAGATAAAAAATCCTATCTGGTAAAACTGAATAGAGCTGCTCTAGCAAATGTAATGTGATCTTGGTACATCGGATCCAAAAAATCTACTTAAAATGATGAATTCTGCTAGCAATAAAACCCTGAATGATGATCTGACTATCAAAATTACCAAATCCATAGTTAGAAAACGATATTGGCATATTGGAAAAGATTTAAAATTAGCACTTGAACACAAAATCTTGATTCATAATTGTATAATAATAATTTTTATTATTACTGGTCATATTATTTAACCAAAGTATTATTTTATTTTAATTATCATAGTTTTTTATAAAGTCTACGCGTATGTATGTGTATGTATTTATGTACTTATATGTGAATGTGCATATATGTGTATGCATGTATATGTATGCGTATTATATGTATGTATATATGTATGTAAGTAGATGTGTATGTATATATAGTTATAAATATACAAGTTATAAATTAGCATATTATATTATAAAACTGTACAAAACCGATTGGCGTACAAATAAATAAATGAATAAATAAATATGGAATAGAGTTTTGGAGCAGCTCTAACAAGTCTAATGTGGCAATGGTACAGTGGATTCAATCACAACTCCTTATTATTAGAATGATGACAGGTGCATTCTGGTACGTGAGCAATAAATCTCTGCATTATCATCTGAGTTTTATATAATTAAAAACTTCATAAAAACAAGATCTACTTATCATCAGACAATCTACCCAATTTACTTGTTGCTCCGCCGCTCCTTACCCTAGAATTAAAAAAACTTAAAAAAATATGGTCAATTTACTTGAATTAATAAATTGTATCTTATAGTAATTGTCTCTTAGGGTAACTACTGTATATAATTAAAATTGATGCTGGTGAATCAAAATAACTCATAGTATGCAATTTATGTTCTGATCAATAAGAGAAATAAAAAATAAATAAAAATCATTTTCCGTTAGACTTTGACGTAATTCAAACTTCAATTCCCGCGTCCCACGTGAAGTCGGTTGACGGGGGCCTCGACGCGCAAGCCCGGAGACGCCCCGGAGAGAGGCAAGACCCGGGCGCAGACTCGCGCTCGTAGCGTCCCAGGACCGGCAGCGCTACGAGAATCGCTGCCTACGCTTCAGTCGCTGCGCAAGCCTGAGCGCGGTGGGTAACGACGCTGTACTGTGCGACGCTGTGTGTGACGCGTGCCCGCGTGTGTATGTGTGTGTCTAGTGCGCTCTGGTGTCGGACGACCACTTTTCGATAATAATGTACGCCAAACGATAGCATCGGACAGATCAACAATTTTTTAAAGTGACATTAGATGAACGCACCCATGGCGACCGTCGCCGCCGCCGCGTTCTTTAAGCCGCGTACGATCACAGGAGAGCCGCCGGCCGAAGTCACCGCCAGCGATTCTGTCTGTTCGCGCTGAGAGAGGGGGCGTATATGTCCGGGTCCGACACTCGGGCAATGAACCGGGGGATGATCATACCGCAAGTCCATTTTATTTATTCTGCATGCTGTAGTTCTTCTAACTCCTGTCAAATTTATAGTTGATCATTATTGCCGCAACTTGCAAAATGGTTCATGCTGCAACTAACTATAGATTTGACATATTATTGTTATTCTGTGATACACAACAACATTGAAATCAGTCTGTATGTATATTTATACCAATACAAAAATCAATTATTAAAATTTCATAATAAAATTTTATGTGTGAAACAGAATGAATGCTGAATGTAAGGCTGCTCTCTACATCAAAATTAGGAAAACTTGGTATATTAGTATAATCCAATCATTTGTATCTAATAGTAATTACCCACTGGGGTAACTACTATATAATCATAATAGATTGTCAAATATCTCCCTTCCGCCTGTTTGTATTATAAACCAAGAGCAAAAAAGCGGAAGGGAGATATTTGACAACTTAATATTTAATTAATGTGAATCAAAATAACTCATAGAATGTAAGTAATGCTGATTCTTATGAATAAAAAAAACTGATATCACATATGTCAAACTAATTAATTTGGAATAGCTATAATGAACGTAGATGAAAGTGGCAATTGCAATAGCAAAACATTATATTCGAAATTTTGGAAATATTGTGTGAGCAGAAATGATCATAATCCGATGTCTATTTTAATTCTCCGATTATGAATAATTTCTGCAATTTTCTGCTGTATTTAAATATATAAACGGCCGCGATTTGTGATTACATTATGATATACTGTAAAAGAAAAAGTTTTCCATACAAACGTGTTCAGAAAAATATTTAGCCGAGAGAAAAATACAAGGGGGATGAATGAATATTTAGCATGTTTTTAATTATTGCGAGCTCATAGCGCCTCCCGCATAAGCAAACATCCGTGCTTCGTGTCTGAATGCGTTTCATTCTCTAAAATCTTTGTAATATTCCCCTAAATCTAAAATTCAATTCATTGTCTATTAAAAATTCGAACAAGCCGCGCCATAGGCAAGCAGCTTGGCGTTTCTGTATTCTGTACGACGAGATGTTATGATGTCTGTATATAACTTAAACACGACATGATTTGATATGCATTGGATATTCGGACAACTTTGGAGTCTGTTGTACACCTATGGTCACTATAGTAATATTTAATTATTTAAATAGTCGTATCTCAAAAGAGTTATCTGGTAATAAACAGACATACTTGATATTTATGTGAGGTAAAATTTTCATGCATTAATCAGGAATCTTAACAAAAGTTTCAGTAGTTTTAGTCATTATGATAGTAAAAAGCAAATGTACGTTGATGGTTCAACTGTATTAGAAGCATCAGCAAAATTTTCTTGTTCATATGTTCTAAGTAACATTCGTTGGCAAAATAATCAACATGATCCATATAGACTATGAATAATATTTTTTTAGACTATGTGGTGCAAGTCTGTCAATTTCAATACTAGGTATTTCTGAAGAGACGATTTGCTCAATTTTGTTCGGCGTTTTTTTTTCCATCATATTAAAATATGATCGTGTGGTAAACCTTTTTTGCGATTTAATGGTTTACATCTAATAGCGTTTCTCTCAAAATGCATGATGTTTGATTTTATTTTTTTATATCCTCCAAGTTTTCGAGGAGTCTGCAATTGATATGACTATACCATTTTTGTGGTTTCCGAGTCGATTAAAATGGGATATGCATCTGTTTCTTATTACTTCTTGTACAGTGTCCGTTTTTAGGTCATTATGTATATTTTTGTTTGATATCAGAA